GAAGACTCCGAGGCAGAAGTGAGCAGGACTGAGCTGGGGCCTGGAGTGGGGTGGGGGCTGGGAGAGGAGCGTTGAGGCCAGAGCTTGGAGGACTTCCGTGCGAAGGAGGGGATTTGGACTTGCTCAGCTTGGCAGCAGTGAGGAGCCACTGTAGATTCTTGAGCAAGACAGTCCAGGTATGTTGGGTGGGTTGAACTAGGGGAGAGAATATTTGAAAGCAGGCAGTCTGGGCTGTGGTGGCGGAGGTGGCCAAAAGACTGAGGGATGAGAATGTGGGGTTGGACAGCCTCTCGATGTCCTCCGAGCTGTTCAGACTGACATGCTGCTGATGGACAGAGGCTTCAACACTCCTCGCAGGATCTAGGGAGGGCCAGAACCCCAGGAATCTGCTTTGACTCTTCTTGGTCACCAACTAACATGTCTCTTCCTTTTTTCTCTTCACCTCGTGGCTGCAGCCCCTGCCAGCATCCCCCGCGCTGGCTCTGACTCTCTCACTCCAACTTGACTTCTAGCAAGTCATGCCCTTGCTCTAGAGTCTGCCATGGCTCCCTATTGCCTGTTGCCTTACTGAGGCTTGACTGCAGGGCTCTGCATGGTCACTCTTCCAGGGGCCCATCATACCTGGCCAACCCAGCCTTCCTGTTTCCTGGTACCTGTACACAGCAGATTCCTCCCCAGACTCACCCAGACCCAATCCGCCTCCTATCTTTTCCAATCCTCCCCTACCCCTGTAGTGCAGCCTACAGCTTTTAGCTCTGAATCCTGCACCCTCTAACAGCACCGACAGTTATTCCTGACTTGTGTTTTGGACATTTCAGGGGATGTGAGCTCAGACCCCAGGTGGGACCCTGAGCTGTAGGTTTACTGGAAACGAACCATTGACCTGACCTACTTTTCTAAGCTTGGGTGGGCTGGTGGAAAAGCTCAAATTGGATACTCAGGTGATGGAGCGAAAATCTCATACATGGATTTATTTACCCCTCCCAACAACCCAGGAGGAAGGGACTTCTGTTGCTGTTCTACTGTAGGGATGAGAACACTGAAGCCTAGGAAGTTTAAGTAATTTTTAAGATTTCACAGTTAACAAGTGTCAGAGCCAGGGGTCAAGCTTGCCAGTCTGGCTTGTAACCACTAACTGGGCTGCCACGCTTTTGCTTCTGGGCGTGTTCCAGTTTGCTAACAATTATTTGCTGAGAGCTACTCACTGGGCGCAGTGCCTGGGGGTAGAGGGAGCAGTCATGGAGATGTCCACGAGGCCCTTCTGTTGATGAATAAAATAGTAAACGGAACCACTTATGAATTGCATGCATAGCAGCCAAAAATAACAGATAATATTTGTAAAGTCCTTATTACTGAGGATCAGAGGCTGGGGGACTTGCCCAACATCACAGGGCTATTAATTGTCAGTGATGACACAGAAACTCTTACTATTCTTATTTTACAAGGTTGAATGACTTACTCCAGGTCCGAATCTGGAAAGTAGTGGGACTGAGGTTTGAACCAAGGTCAAACTCATAACCTCTATAGTATATGGGCTCATTTGAGGGTCTGCTATGTGCTGGATTAGGGAAGGGACAGAGAAGAGACCCAGTGGCTGCTGGCGGGGGGGGGTGAGGGCATGGTGCCTTCCTTACTGGTTTGGGGAGGAGTACACGCAGAATGGGAGGTTAAAGGGCTCTCTAAACTGGGGTGGGTGCCACAGAGAGGTAGGAGGTCATGGGAGAGCAAGGGGGCGGGGGGGGGGGGCCCAGCTGGACTGAAACCTGCATCTGGGGTGGGGATGTCACCAGAAGAGGAAGGAAGCTGCAGTGCAAAGGGGATTTTATACTCTTTGGGAAAGCAGTGGGAACCAATGAATATAATTTGATTGTAAAAGGTAATTTTCAAGTTCAGTCAGGTTCAATAAGACGCAGAACCTATTATATGTGACTAATGATTCTGTATTTTGTGTAAACAAATGACTGGGAAGTGGACATGGTATGTGTGTGTTTTAGGAACAAAGGCAGATGTTGGGAACATCTAGGTGAAGATATATGTCACTTGGAACAAAGCGGGGCTGGGTTGCAGTTGGCTCAGAATAACTGTACCTTCTTCCCATCCACTGTAATCGGGGTTGGGGTAAAAGACACCAGGATACGTCCAGTCGGGCTCTGTGCTCTGAGGCCTGGGGCTGCTGCCCTGTCTCTCTGGTGTAGACCGGAGGAGTTATCCTGCTTCCACTGTAGGAGGAAGGTACAGCAGGAGCAAGGTCAGAAAGGAGGTCCTGTGCTTTCCAGATGCAAGGACCAGGGGCCTGAAAGGGACCTGAAGGGGCTCCTGATCCACCTTACAGCACCCCCATGTCTCCCACTAAAACTCACTCCCAGCCCTGCTCTTTCTTTGGCTTCCTTCCTGGAATCACACTGAACAATAACACTGCCCAGGGCAGGCAGCCCTGTGAGGGGAGAGAGCTTTGGCTGTGGCCCTGGGGCTCTGGGGCTGCCGTGTGGCCTGGGGCAAGACAGCTAACCTCTATGCCCTGCTCCTCCGGGATAAAGTGGGGATAGCAGTATCGATTTGCCTCCTTGACTGGATTTAGTAAGGGGCAGATAACAGAATAAAGTTTGCTCTGCTAACTGTAAAGTACTACAGTACAAAGCCTGCCCTACTTGTCCCAGAGAAAGTCCAGGGGCATCCAAAAAGCAGACATCGCTGAGAACGCCTGCTCTGGGTCACTGGGGGTGGGCGCACCTCTCCCTACCCACCGGACATTCGGCTCAGGGCCAATCGGGGTGAAGCGGATTCCAGGCAACTTCTGCTCGCTCCGCCCCCGGGGCGAGCGCTGCGGAGGCGGGCGGCTTTAAAAGAGCCGGCACGAAGCGAGAAGGGGCGCCCTCCGAGCTGCGCCCTGGCCAGTACCATGCGCGAGGGTCTGAGCGCCGCGTGCGAGGCAGCCCGGCCCCGGCTCTGCGGACTTCTCCGCAGGATCCTGCGGCAGAAGCCCGCCTGCGGCTCCCGGCGAGCCAGGTACTGCAGCCGGGCCGAATCAGCCCTGGGAGGGAGGCGGGCGGCTCCGCGCGCAGACCGGGCTCTCTAGCCCTAGGTGGCAATGACCTTATCTGAGCCTCGGTTTTCCGTGAAAATATGAGGATAGTAATATTCGCTCTGTAGGATTCCGATGAGGATTTACTTAAAAGTATTTTCCTCGGTTAGAAGCTATGAGGTTACAATTCTGTAGCCACAAGGGCCCAGAGAGTCCCCACATGCTCCCGTGAGCCACGGTCTATGAGGGCCAGAGTAGGACTTCTGGATGTCTCAGCGCTCGGGAGCTTTCTAGATTTTTTTTCAGCACTGAGGCTGCTACACCATTTAGGACAGATATAAGAGAACAAAAATATTCTTGTTTAACAAATAAGATTCATTTTCCAGAGCTCCTTTCTGTCCCCAGGCCCTGGTGTAGGGAGCGGTGGGCAGGTGGGGAGGAGCAGGAACTGCCGGAGAGTCGAGACCCTGGGTCAGCCATGAAACAAGCCACAGACCGCAGCTCTGACCTCAGCACCCGGATCCTGGGTCTAAGCAAGCACCACAGTGCAGCTTCCATTTCGATGGCAGGTCCTTAAGGGTCCTCCTTTCCTGCAAAGAACAAAGCAGGACCAAGCACAACGGTGGGCTCGACCAAATTGCACCGAGTGTCTGGGTGGGCAATGCAGTGATTTGCCAGTAGGCGTCCGGAGCCCTAACTGCTCCTCCGGCTTCTGGCCACCCCACCTCCCCACAGCTGCCGAAAGAAACCTGCCGAGGGAGAAGGGGGGTTGTGCATAGCTTTGTTTATTCATTTTCAAATTTAAACATTTCCCCAGTTATGAAAGGAATTCATAGGTCACTGTATAAAGTTGGAGAATGCAGAAAAGTGTAAGCAAAAATTTAAATCGCCCATGATCTTACCAGTTAATGCTCGTTACTGTTAACATTTACTTAACGATTTTCTGTGCTTTTACACACACAGCATCAGGCCATGCACACAGTTTGGGGCATTGTTTATAAAGGTGGAGAACTGGGCACAGCCTAAATATTACTCTTTCCAAAAATAAAAGCAATACATGCTCATGTGTCATATTCCAACCTCACAGATGTGTATAGTGGGACATGAGAGACCCTTGGAATGCTCTCTCATCTCCTTCCCCTTTGATGTGGGGTTCACATGCACACCCCAGAAAATGCAGCAAAGAACGTGGAACACAACAAGCTTTCCAGCTAAAGTGCCCCTGTAGTGTGATCCGCCTCAGAAGGAGGCATGTGTGATTTTGAAGGGGTGCTTACGAGCGTGTAGCCAGGGAGAGCATGTAGCCAGGGAGTTACGTCTTCTGTTCTCTGTAGCATTTGCCAGGAGAGCGAACCTAAAATCCTAAACCAGAACCAATGCTTTCTAAGTGATTACAGACTATTAGGGCTTTCTCCAATGGACAAGCTAAGTTCTTTACACCTGCCATTTTAAAGTAAATGTAACCAATATGTGTTTTTAAAAAGGTGGCCTTATTTTCCAGAAGCACTTACTGAGATGTTTGTGGATGGCAGGGCCTCTCGGACTTGCTTTGGACTAGTGGTGGGGGCCGGGGGAGTGGAGCTGAAACAGGACTGGATGTGGGTTGGTGTTGGGTGAAGGGCCCAAGGTGATCATTATTATCTCCACCGTGAATGTTTAGCATTTTCCATAATAAAAATTTGGAATAAATAAATAAACCAAGACAAGTCAAACGCTTTAAATAAAAAATCTTAAGTCCTCCGAAATGAATGGATGGTGGGCAATGCTGCTGGCCTGGGAGAAGCCCTTCTGGGCCCACCCATATCTGTACTTGGCTTCTGAGGGGGGCATCTTCCTGAGCTTCTGTCGTCCTTTGGGCCACCAGCCTTGGTTCAGCTCCCTTTGTGTCTGCCTGCTCTCCAACACACACACACGGCCCTCCTCTGGAACCACGAGCATTCACTCCCACTCTCTGGACCTCGGTTCCCTCATCCCTCAAATGACAGGCTGGCAGAAGGGAGCCCAAGACCCCTCTCTGCCCTCAGGTGCTCCATCTCATGACAGTTGTTTCCTTTCACAGCCCAGTGACACAGGATGACCCCAAGGGTCACAGCCCTGGCCAGGCCCGGAATGAGTCCCCCCAGCCCTTCACGGGGACAGTGAAGGTCAGTGAGTCACACAGGCTGTGGGAAGCCCCTTCCCCCCTCGCCCAGGCAGATGCAGGCTGAGCAGCCTGGTGGAAGCTGGAGTCTGGGCAGTGGGTGGAGATCCAGGGGACAAGGGTGGGGACAAGGGAGGGCTTTGGGAGGGCAAGTGATTGATGGTGATCAGGAGTGGCGGCCCCTGAGGTGCCCTGGCACCTGGATGACTTGCCTGTGTGAGTGAGGGGTGAGAGGAGACCACCCATGGAGTCAGACTCGGCAGCCGAGCCCTCGCTGCAGCCCCCAGCTGCTGTCCCACTGGTTCCGTCTTCCCCAAGCGCTTCGGTCTCAGTGTTCCAGACGAGATGGGCAGAGAATGGGGCAGAGGCGGCTGGGAGAGCAGATGGTTTACATTTGTTTAAATGCCTCTTAGTCCATCCTTTTCCTCCTCCTGATTTCTGTCCTCGGAGGCATTGGCTGTAACACTGGCGGTGACAATAGTCTCCTTTGCATCTAGTCTCCCCTGCTGTTGCAGTTCCTCTGAGGGAGCATTTGGCAGGGTCTTGGGTGAGGAGAGATGCCTGGCTAGTGGCCCGGGCACCTGGAGCTCTTAGCAGGCACTGGCCCAGGTGGCCAGGCTGCCGGGAAGGGAGGAGGGACATGGACCAACACCCTGACCTGAGTTCCCACCCAAACTCCCCACCCCACCCAAAGCCAAAGCAGGGCCTGAGGGCCAGGGAGAGACCCATGGGGTCCTGGAGTTGGAGGCATTTGGGGATCCCTGTTTTCTTCCCCCCCTTAGAAGTCTCCAGAATCCCTGGTCAAGCTGGAGGTGCCCCCATCGGCCTGTCCAAGGCACGTGAGGATCAAAAACTGGGGCAGTGGGATGACCTTCCAAGACACACTTCACCACAAGGCCAAAGGGGTGAGAATCTGGGGCTTCGGGGTGAACCACCTTTGTCCCCGGTCAGCGAAGCCATCAGGGCCCTGAGAGGATCGAACAGATGTGTCTCTGGGCCAAAAAACGGCCATCACCTGAGTAGGGGTGCTGGGACAGAGACGTGCTCCTCGTAAATAACAGTAGGAAGTAAATGATGCCAACTTCCCATGAATCCCCCTCGTGGGTAACGGATAAACCAGAGGTGAGAGAAATGGTTATGGGAACAAATGAATTCTTTTCTAGAGAGACACAGATTTCAGCATAGTTTCGGGGAGAATTTTCTAACAGACCTGTCCGAAGATGAACTGAAGTACATCAGGGGAGCTTGCGGTCGGGAGAAGGGTTCAGGTGCTGTTTGGTAGGGATACTGGAGAGCATCCAGTGAGTAGTGGCACTAAGTGTCCCTTATGCCGCCTTCCTGTATTCTATGCTTCTCATTCTCACTTTAGGATGCCTAAGTGGGAAAGAATCGAAAATTTCAAGACCTTGAAATCAGAGCGATTCCCCACACCCTGCAGAAATTACGACAGTTATCATTTGGGTGTACCTCTTTTCAGCGCTTCTCCTGTGCCACCCCTGGCTTTGGGATTTGCACCCTCTCATTTCAGTTCACTCTGGCTGAATGGCAGTAGTGTGTTCCCAGGAGCCACATCAGCCTCTTTGAATGAGAAGGTAGTTGAGATGTTTCCAGGGATGGAGCTGTTGACTTCGCTCTGGGTCTGGGGCCGGCTGGGAATGCGGCCAAGAGGCTCAGCCCAGGCAAAGGGAGAGCAACACAAGCTATACCCACTGGGGTCCACCAGTGGAGGGAAAGAGATCTAGGTGGGGGGAAAAGCCTGGCGGACCCCAGGGAGGAGGTGCCACAAGGGTGCAGAGGGGTGGTAGGGAGCTGGAGCAGCCAGAGTGAAAGGGGGTGGCCAGGAGAGCCAGCCCTGGAGAGGATGGGCTAGCAAAACTGCCATCAAAACTGCCCACCTCACCACTTGTCTCTCTCTTCCCAGGATCTCGCTTGCAAGTCCAAGCATTGCTTGGGAGCCATCATGAACTCCCAAAGTTTGACCAGAGGACCCAGGGACAAGCCTACCTCCCCAGATGAGCTTCTACCTCAAGCTATCGAATTTGTCAACCAGTATTACAGCTCCTTCAAAGAGTAAGGCTCACTTCTTGCAGGATCCACCGCCTCCCCCTTCCCCGGGAGCTCTCCTGTCTCCAGCCATTTCCCTCTGAGGCCAGGCGCCTTTTCTTCCCAGATTTGCAGTGGCAACTAAAACATAGTTTCCCAAGGGAAAAAGACCCCAGGGGTAGGTTTTCATAATTGTGATACCGAGAGACGGAGCAATCACGGTTAAAAGCGTGGGTCGGGAATGTAGCCGAGTGTGAACCCTGGCTCCCCCGGCGGGCGGTCCCATATCCCCGGGAAACCTGCTTACTCTCTCTGCGCCTCAACTTCCTCATCTGTAAAGTGGGCGTAGGGTAAGGACAGAATCCTGCTCATAAGATTGTCGTGAGGATTCAATACATTTAGAACAGAGTCCTGGCACAAAGTCGCCTTGATTATGGCTTGACACGCACCCTTTTATTATTAAATGTTTGTAGTAGGTAGGACCTTCGAGACCACCTAGGCAAGCCCTTCTCCGACAGGTGTAGACAAGGAAGCCCCATGACACACCTGAGGTTACCCAGTTGCTGCTAGAATTCAGGCCACCCAACTAGGAGAGGGCAGGACGCACTCTCTGCACTGAACTTTGTGGGGTTCTACGTTGCTGAGCTTCATTGAATATACCCGTTTGCCGTGCATAATGCGCAAGTTCTTGCCCAAATTTTTGAGGGAAAAATAAGGATGCAGGTTATACATGGGTAAGGCCTAAAACGTGGGTGCACGTTATATACAACAAAATATGGTACGACTTTGAATTAACGTAGTTCCCCTTAAACCTTACAATAAGAATGCACAAAGGGCTTGTAAGACAGAATGGCCAAGGGCATGGATTTGCAGTTTTGTGGACTATGGCTTTTATGGTGCAGGCCCAGGTGGCACTCCATGGCATGAAATGAGTCAGGGAAGTGCACCCGGGACCCCCATGGCAGAAAAAGTGGTTCCTGGTCACACCACATCCCCTCTCCTATGACCCTACGGTATCTGAGCTGGAAGGGACCTTGGGTCTAAGGAATAGCCCCTTATCTTCCAGGGCCAGTGATCTCCAACCTTGGCTGTGCCGTAGAGTTGCCAGAGGACTTTGCAATATACTGAGATCAGGGTCCCCTGGGCCAACGGTGTCAGGACCCCAGGACTTGGGGAGGCAGCAGACACCCCTTTTCTTTAAAAACTCCCCAGGCAGGTCTAATGTGCAGGGTGGGGGTGCCTGCCGTGTGCTGTGGAACCAGACCCTCTGTGAAAGTGCTTTGTGACTGGGGGCTCAAGGTCCCAGGGCTTTCAGCTAGGTTGTTGACGAATGAGCCTTTCGGGGTGCAGGAATCGTTTCCATGGGCTCCCCTGGGCCAGCATGTTGATGGCAACATTTACTGAACACTAAACATGTTCTGGGCCCTGGATAAGTGCCATGCAAGTACTGCTCACCACCAAGGTGTGAGATCGGTCCCATTATTATCCTCCGCATTTTTCAGACGTGGAAACTGAAGCCATGGAGGAGATGTGACGTACTCAAAGTCACACTCTCTGAAGTCCCAGAGCTAGGATTTGAACCCCAGAAGTTTGGTGCTAGAGCCCCTGCTTTTATCTTCAAGGTCTAGTGTCCAGCTCTTTGACCTTGAAGGTTCTGACTCCGCACTGGACCTGGGAGTTGCTGCTGGTGTTTGGAAGGCAGCTGGGTGGGTGTCTGGCTGGGGAGCCTCCAGGCTCTTGTGGCTGTTCAAACCCAACGGCTTCTCACTGAGGGAAGAGTCATTTCTTCCAGTCACAAATCCATCCCTGGTATCCCAAGAGGACCTGGGGGTGTGAGTGACACCACAGTTGCACTGGCAGCCAAAGGCACAAACAGTCGGGCTATTTGGCTCTTTAAAAGTGCCCCAGGCAGCCTTTTGAAGGAAAGATTGTGCAGTTAGAAATGGGAGCTTGCTGAATGTTCTGCTCAAATCCAGTTTGCTGACGCCAAGAGCCACTCTCTTTTTTTCAGAACTACTAGGCATCATAGCATTTTTAGTGCCACAGAAATGTGACTATATTAACACAGTAGGGAAACACAGAATTCTAAAGGGACTGGGTAAAAAGCTGAAAACGAATCCTTCCTTATTCGTAGTCACGTGGTAACACGACCTAGTGCGCTCTGGTGATCGCTGGGGTTTTCCTGGTTGGACGCAGCGCAGGGAGCGGGCGGGGTGAGGAGCCTCGTTTGGGGAGAAAGGGCTCCCCTGTGGTGGGCAGCTCAGCCTTCACCCAGGCCGAGAGGTCCTTCAGCCAGGAGGATCCTTGAAGATAAACAGTGTCAAGTGTTTTGTCTCGGAGCTTCTTTCTTTAATCAGGGAAGAGTTGTCGAGACACTCTTCATCCACAGAAAGGCCATTTTGTTCTGAATTGTCCAATCTCCTTAATCAGGAGTTCATTCCTTAAATAGTTTTGTTTGTTGCCATTTCAAACATCTTTGGCGCTGATTGGAAATCTCAAGGTTGCTGTGTGTGTGTGTGTGTGTGTGTGTGTGTGTGTGTGTGTGTGTTTCAAAGCCTTTCTGACTGCACGCCTCCTCCCTGGCGGTATTTCTGAAGCCTGGGAGGGGAGGAGAGAACCCAGGCTCGTCCCAGTGCAGACACCTCACTGGGATGCTGGCTGAGAGGTGCAGAGGTTGGGGAACCGCATGCCGTAGGCAGCCGGTGATGCTGGACCTCACCGGGGGCCCTGCAGGCTGAGTCCTCAGAGGTGGGCCCTCTCTGTGCCTGGCCAGGAAAGTGTGGGAAGGCTCTCGACATCTCTGGGCTTACAGTCTTCCCTGAGGCAGAAAGTGCAAGGTTGAGAGCCTGGGCCTGGCATCAGGGAAACTGAATCTGAGTCTTGACCTTGCTCTTTATCACACTTCTGTTCTATGTGGTCACTTAACCTCCTAGAGCCTTGGTACACTGGATGGTAAGATAGACACCAAAATGCCTCCTTCAGAGACCCGGTAAGACCCCGAGCAGGAGGGACTTCACCCAGTACCTGGTTCCTAGCAAGTACTCAGAACACGGGGATGCTGTGGGAGGGCCAGGCTCGTCTCTTAACCGTGGGAAGGTGGACAGTTGCTCCCCTGGATGAGAGGTCGGACGAGGCTGTGGCGTGATGGATGCCCTTCTGGGTCTCGCATGTGTCTGGGGATGGCACACTCTCCTTGCTCGTGCTTGTCAAGCTGAAGTGTAGACAGTTAGAGGGAAAGCACCTAGAAACAACAAGGGTGCAGGTGGGATTGGGACCAGCTCCCTAACTTGCAGGACACAGTGTGAAAATGCAAACGTGGACTCCCTGTTCAAAAGTGATGACGAATTTCAAGGTAGTGACAGCAGCGCATGAAACTGAGCACGGAGCCCTGCTGAGCTCAGAGCCCGTGAGGCTGACCCATGACGCTGACCCTGGAAGCCACGGTCCCCACGACAGACATCTTGCCCTCCTGGTGTCCTGGTTTGGATCCTGCTTCTGTGGATTGAATTAATCGCCGTTTAAGGCCATCTCATTGTTGATCTTCCTGATGTCTTCCTGTCGTCCAGGGCAAAAATAGAGGAGCATCTGGCCAGGGTGGAAGCCGTCACAAAGGAGATAGAAATAACAGGAACCTACCAGCTGACGGGAGATGAGCTCATCTACGCCACCAAGCAGGCCTGGCGCAATGCCCCGCGCTGCATCGGGAGGATCCAGTGGTCCAACCTGCAGGTGGACTTCCTTAGACCCCAGCAGGAGAGGAAGCCGAGGGGGGAGGGCAGGGAGGCCCTGGGCGGGCGCCCCTGAACAGCCAAGCTGAGCTGTGCCCAGGGCTCCCAGACCGAAACCGGGGCCTCAGGCATTGCTGAGCCTGAGACAGGTCCCCTAGGAGAACTCCAGAATCCCATTTCAGTCCCAGGATTTCTAGCTCATCTCTCTTTCTCATGTTAAATTTGGGAGACTAACTGCCAGCATCAAACCAAATGACCTCTGGGATTTGGGTTTTGATAGCATCTTCCAAGTGGGGTTGCTTGGGTTCCCCTAGGAGCGTGGGAGAAGGGGTGGGCGGGTGGCCCTGAGGTGGGAGACGTGGGTGCAGAGGTCAGACTACACTTCCCTTGGTGTTCCGGGCGGGGGGTTGGCGCGCACCCTGTGTCCCTCGTGACTGAGCCTCTCCGTCACCCCCGGGGGCCGTGTGCAGGTCTTCGACGCCCGGAGCTGTTCCACTGCCCAGGAAATGTTCGAGTGCATCTGCAGACACCTGCGATACGCCACCAACAATGGCAACATCAGGTGGGGACACCTTTCCCGAGGCTAGGACTCCGGTCCACCCTCCGCCAGGATCAGCCAAAGGATACAGATGGGTTTGGGGTGGCGTTTCTGGCTCCAGGAGAAACCAGGGAGAGAGACCTGGGTCTCCGGCTTCTTTGGGGGGCCCTGGCAGTGAGCAGAGCCTCCAAGAGCCTAGCCCCTCAGTAGCCTGTTTCCTTGACTTGCTTCTGACTTGGAGCCATTTGGAGGGGATGGAGGTCTTTAAGAAGCAAGCTTAGAGCTCCTCACTTTTTAGAGGAGCTGAGAAGTTAATTTTGTGGCACATGGCTCCAGGGTAGTTTTTTCTTAGAGGTGGGAGTATCCTGCTCACCGGTACCCACCTCTGCCTTACCCTCCCAGCCCTCAACCCAAGAGGTCAAGGCCGATAGGACTGAGCAGCTCATTCACTCAGTTGTTCATCTATTCTTCTGTTCAGCAACTATTCAGTGACCAATTAATGGGGACTAAACAAAGGGCCAGGCACTGGGGGGGGGCGGCTTGGAGGGCCACTGAGGTAACTAAAACCCTAAGATGCTGCTTGAGCCGCTGTGAACCTATGTCTGCACAGTCTCAACTGCAAGCAGAGAGATATCGCGCAGAGGGGAAAGGGATGGGGCAGCTAACCCTGCCTGAGAGTGGGGACGGCTTCCCGGAGGGGCCAGTCCCTGTGCTGGAGGGAGAAGAGGGAGGGAGGGAGGGAGGGAGAGGGCATGTCGGGAATGGGGCAGGTTACACAGGGGCCAGGGAGAGTGTGGCGTATTGGGGAGCTGCAGAAGTTGGGTTCTGTTAACTCGGGGGCAGAGGCCTGGGAAGTGAGAAGACAGGAAGGGGAGAGGGCTGGTGGGGACGGCTGGGAGCCCCCCCACCATGCCAGGTGGTAAACAGCACTCTCTGGGCTTGGGGAAGGTCGGCCATCACTGTGTTCCCCCAGCGGAGCGACGGGAAGCATGACTTCCGGGTCTGGAACTCTCAGCTCCTCCGTTATGCCGGCTACCAGATGCCCGATGGCACCATCAGAGGGGACCCCGCCTGCGTGGAGTTCACCCAGGTACCAGATCCAGCCTTGGTGTTGACAGAGTGAAGCCTAGAGGGGTCAGGGTGCCTGGGTCTGCAGACTCACCGGGCCTGTCTTGTCCCCAGCTGTGCATTGACCTGGGCTGGAAGCCCAAGTACGGCCGCTTCGACGTGGTGCCTCTGGTCCTGCAGGCCGATGGCCGAGACCCTGAGCTCTTTGAAATCCCACCTGACCTTGTGCTCGAGGTGCCTATGGAACATCCCAAGTAAGCAGGCTGAGGGTGCCGGGGGTGTGAGTAACATGCATGTCCCCTCCTTTCCTAAGAGAGACCTCAACCCTCAGGCCCCTCCTCGCATCTCCCCCAAAGCCCAGTCAGCGGCAGGTGCCCAAAAGCCTGGCTTTCAAGGGCCCCCTTGTCATCCTTATACAGCAACTCTGCACTGTGTCTGGGTCTTCAGATTTATGAGGATATGTGGATGGTGAAGGGGAAGCAGAGGCCTGGACAGATAGGGCCCTAGGAGCTAGGGAAGCAGGGCCCCTGGGAAAGCAGCCCTTGTAAGGCTCCGAGATGCTCCCACTGAGCAGCCGCGCCTCCTTTGCCCTCCTGCCGATTCTCTCAGCTTCCCCTCCTGGCCCTGATGAAAGCATAGGGCTGTAGTGACTTCAGGAGCTCATCTGGTTCCGCGCTTGCTCCAGACGCTCTCACAATTACGAAAATACCTCCCTGTGTTGAGGCTCACTATGTAGCAGTCCTTGTGCTGGGCTCCTTTTCCTTGTCTTTCTTTTCATTTTTTATCTCTTGAATATTGTGAAACACAGTCCCATCTCTGGACCTTTGTGCCTGCTGCTCCCCCACCCTCCTCTTGGAGTTCATTCCTTCCTGTCAGTGAGGTATTCCTGGATGGTAGCCCCTCCGGGATGCCCAGTCACAGCAGGCGCCCTCCCCCTCTGTGCGACACATCACTTGTTTCTGTCTTCCTGTCAACTTGCTTGTTCACCTGTGCACAGTCTACACTCTAGACTGTAACCTCCTTGAGAGCAGGGGTCTTGCCTTTCTTGTTCAGCAATATATCCCCAACACCTAGCTGGGTCCCTGGCACATAGTAGGTACTCAATTATAAATATTTCTGGAATAAATGAATATACAAGTGAATGATAGTATTATCTTCACGATAATCTCCCGAGTTTGGTACCATTTTGTTGGTGGAGATGCTGAGGCTCCGAGGGTCTAAATAACATCCCAAGGCCACACAGCTGCTGAGCAGAGTGGCAGAACTTGAAACCAGGCTTCCTGACATGAGAGCCCTTGACCGCTGTGTTACGTTGGGTTCTCACGTTTGGCCCAGGGCCTGGCACACACTGGATTCTTACTGTCTGTCTGCGTGAGCGACTGCAAGATTGATGACTGACACCTAGTGCACCCAGTCACCCCTCTGGCGGGATGAACTCAGAGACCAACCCTTGGAAAGGAGTTATCTTGGTGGACTCTTCTCCTGAAGCTTTTTTCCGGTGGCGAGGGCAGGCAGAAGTGAAGGGCCCAGTTGCCAGTGGCTCTGTCTCCCCCGCAGGTACGAGTGGTTCCGGGAGCTGGAGCTGAAGTGGTACGCTCTGCCCGCGGTGTCCAACATGCTGCTGGAGGCGGGCGGCCTCGAGTTCCCAGGGTGCCCCTTCAATGGCTGGTACATGGGCACGGAGATCGGGGTCCGGGACTTCTGTGACGTCCAGCGCTACAACATCCTGGAGGTAATGAAGACCGTCCAGCTGGGCCAGCTGGAGGTGTGGGCCTGGGGTTCGGTCCCAGGGACCGACACGCCCCCATTTCTCTGCCTGTGCAGGAAGTGGGCAGAAGGATGGGCCTGGACACGCACAAGTTGGCCTCGCTCTGGAAAGACCAGGCCGTCATCGAGATCAACGTCGCCGTGCTCCACAGTTTCCAGGTGCGCCCGCTGTTCTGTGGGTCTGAGCCTTTCCCGAAAGAGGGTCACCCGGGCCAGTCCCTCACGCTGTGCTCGCTTTCCCCTCACAGTACTGCTCACGTATTCATGCTCCGCACAAGCCTCGCACGGCCAGTCTGTGCCACACACTGTGCGTGGTGCTGGGGACGCAGAGGCAAACGAGCCCTCTCGCCGACTCTGTGTCTTCTGGCATAACTTCTATGCTTCCTCCATCATACTTTCCTCCAGAGACTGGTCAGGCCCTGCTTTATGCACTGGATCCTGTCCTCTCTCAACTCCTCTGGGACTTGAATCCTGAAAATACCCCCTCTCTCTCCTGTATCATCAGGTCTCCCTCCCCACTGGACCATGCCCATCAGCATCAACAGGCCATAATGGGTCCCATTGCAAAGAAATAAAGGGCCAGCTAAGCCAGTAACTCCCCAGCTACAACTGGTTTTTTGCTTCCCCTCCCAGAGAAACTGAGGAAAGATCTCATGACACGTCCTCATCCCCCGCCACTCCAGTCAGGCCTTTGTCCTCTATCACTCTCCGGCTCACGCCAGAACACTTGCTGTTTTTCAAACTCACCAGTGTAGTTCCCACCGCAGGGCTTTGCACTTGCTTTTCTCTCTGCCCAGAATACCCTTCCCACAGATCACCCCATGGCCAGCCCCTTCCCTTCATCCAGGTCCCAACTGTCACCTCCTCAGGGCAGCCCTCCCTGATACCCCCGCCCTACCTCCTTCTGTCTGTCTCTCTTATTCTTTTGACACTGTCTGTTTTTCTTCATAATACTTACTGGCTCCTGGCAATACATAGTGCATCCACTTCCTTCTTTCTTTGTTGTTTTGTACCTCCCCCCAAAAAAGTACACTTCACAGGGCAGTGTCTTGTCTCTCTTGTTCCCTGCTCGACCAGAAGAGTGTCTGGCACATGGTAGATTCCACAAAACTGTGTTGAATGAATGAATGAGAGCTCACATTCAGATAAGCCCTGGTGCTCTTATTTCCCTGTACTGAGTGACAGCGTCCACCCCTTGGACCCACACACGCAGGTGGGCTCCTGTGTGGGACCGAGCCCGCCAGGCCATCTGCTGCTCTTATGTGTGTAAACACACCCCTTGCTGTTGGGAAGGAGGCATGGGATGTGTGGAGATAGTACTTTAGAAGTTGGGACCATCTCCACAAAGCTGGCAGATGCCCTGGAGGCCAGGCCACTGGGAGAGAGGCCTTTATTCCTTCAGCAAAGTTTTATCCAGCATTTCCCTTGTGCCAGGCACTAGGCTGGGCCAGGATGCAAGTGGTGAACAAAACAAACAAAAACTCTGTCCCCGTGCAGTGTAGCGGCTGACATTAAACAATCACCCAGTAAATATTTACGATCACACCCCATTCCCCATGACCCCACGGGCAGGTCGAGCTTGTGCTTGAGGCGAGGGTGGCTCTGAGACAGGACAGGAAGAGCCCCCCGGGGCCGGCCCAGCCCGGGAAGGCCGAGCTGGCTCTGGACCACACATCCCGGCTCCTGGGGACTCCCAGCATCGGCCCTGACCCTGGCAGGATGCGGATATGTCCTCAAAAATCCCCTGACCCTTCGCTGTCTCTTGACCATTGCTGACCACGTCCTGTCCCTGTGTTTGAGTCTCCAGGACTTCCTCGTCACTCTCCTTCATGGCAGACTTCAAAAGACTTGGCCTTGCTTCCTAACCTGTAGAGCAGAGATTGTCACAGTACCTCCCTCGCTAGGTGACTGGAAGAATTAAACATATGCAAAAACATTTCGGCTAACTGCCCGGCCCATAGTGAACACTTAGTAGGCACTCATTTTGTTATTATTCTTTATTAGTGTTGCCATCACTATCACAGTGATCATCATCAGCTCCCGAGTGTGAAACTGGTCTGGCTCCCTGGAGTCGCTGTGTGTGTTTGTATGAATTTTAGGTGTGACCGGGCCTCCAGCAGCCAGCTCCTTCCCTCCTCCTGGCCTTGACTTTCGCTATGGCGTCCTCCAGGGATGCGGGTCTCTGACCTAGCTTGCACCCATTCTCAAGACTCACCTCCTCTTCGAAGCTGTCCCTGAAAGCCCCCATTTCTCCTCCAGGCCGCTGCCTGAGCTAAGCACCTGCGCCCACCTCCGTGGTAGCTCCTCTCAGACCACGTGAAGAGCTGACTTTCCTCTGCCTGCCCCAGTTAGAGGTTAATCGGTTGCACTGAAGGGGCCCGGTCTTTCATTTCTGATGCCAGTGCCTCCCGCAGTGCCTGGCAGACAGAAGTAATAACGGCAGCTAATATTTACTGAGCACATTCTGTGCTTTACTTGTAATAACACTGCATCCTTTCAGTAACCTCATGATGCAGGAACTGTTATCACCCCCACTTTATAGATGGAGAAACTGAGGCTTAGTAAGGTTTAGGAACTAAGTACTTAAGATCACATGGCTAATAAGAGGCCAGGGTTTAAACCACTACCTTAAACAAATGTCTCCTGATTGAACAAGTTGCCCGTAACATTGAGGCATGTGGCTGCCCTTGTCAGGCCATTTAAGAAGGCTCAGACCCCTTGGCTTTTAACTCAGGGACCGTGGTCACTGTCTTCCACACACCGCAGTCCTCTTCAGAGGGTTCTAGTTCCTCCTCGGCCAAGAGGGCCGCATCCTCAGGAAGTGACTCCTGGAACTCTCTATCAACAAAAACACACCGTGGCTGGATTTATCAGCATCCGGTGAGAGCCATTTGCTGGGAGTCTGGGGAGACTTGTGGGCATGGCCTGAGAAGCTAGACACTGGCCCCAGAGGGCCTGCAGGAGGCCCATCTAATCTGTGGGCTGGCCACGGTGATGGTGATTTTTGGGGGGTCTCTTTCGGAGGCTGTGAGAGTGACTTCCATTTGGGCCTTTATCTTCAGCAGTGCAGAGGGGGCCGGGAGGAGTCGCTGTCCCATTTTACAGATTTCCAGGCCTTCTTGTGGTTCTTCGGGAGCCCTGCAGTCTGCAGCCCAGTCTCCTGACTCCCCCATCCCTGTCTCAACTCCCCCCTTGCCTCCTTCTGGTGTAGAAGCAGAACGTGACCATCATGGACCACCACTCGGCTGCAGAGTCCTTCATGAAGTACATGCAGAATGAGTACCGGTCCCGAGGGGGCTGCCCTGCCGACTGGATTTGGCTGGTCCCCCCAATTTCTGGAAGCATCACCCCCGTGTTCCACCAGGAGATGTTGAACTATGTTCTGTCCCCTTTCTACTACTACCAGGTAACAGGGACTTCCTCCCCTCTTGGTCTTGGGAGCTCAGGGTACAGAGAGTGTGTGTCTGCATGTGCATTCACATATGTACACATGCCTGTGTGTGCTCGTGCATTTGTGTGCACCCGTGTGCCCATACATGCTCACTCCTGCAGGACATATAGGGAAGGATCAGGGACACAGACGTATTTTAATGTTTTTCAGACTTCACTCAAGGACGTTCTTTCCACAGAGCACGGGCCTGAAGGAAGTACCTTGCATCGTCCCTTTGGTGGCCCGTTGCTCTGACGGGGTTTGGGCTCCTGAGGGCGACCACCAGGGCCCCTGCCCTTGTGGGAGGGCTCTGAACGGCCCCATAGCATCTTGGTGCAGAGCGTGGCTCCTGGTCAGGCACACGGGGGGGGGTGTCATTTCACCCATCTCAGGCCAGATTTTCTCCTCTGCAAAGGGATTGGCCTTAAGTTCACAATAGGAGGTAGTAAGGGTCCCATGAGCTGGTGCATGGAACAGCTCGGCCCAGGACCCAACGGAATGCACTCGGTAACCATTATGCATTGAAACAAGCTCGTTTGCAGTTAAAAAGGACTTTGGTTAGATTTGGGAAGAAATTCCTTGCTCTGAAGGTGATCAGTAGGGTGACTTCTTGTCCTGGACAGTTTGTACCTGCCGTCATAGCACCTTCTTTCACTCTCGAAGGTGCCTCTGCATTATACCGTCTTCCTGCTGACAAGTCATGATAAGACTCTAAAAACGAGACAAGCAGGGCCCCTTCCTTCCAGGGGGACACTAATGACCATAAAACCAACTGGCCACCTGCAGGGGAAGGCTCCGTGCTGGACACTGAAGCTGCCACTCTGAGGGACACAGACAGGCAGGGTCCCTCACCATGGGGCTCTCAGTGAGGGAGGGGACTGGGACAGACCACTTCCCCCCCGCAGCTCACGAAGGGCACGAAGGGTCCTCCATCTCACCAGCATCCCCCAGCTCAGGCTGAGCTGTGCCCACCTTGCTCTCATATCTGCCCTCTCTTCTGAAGGTGGAGGCCTGGAAAACCCATGTCTGGCAGGACGAGAACCGGAGACCCCAGAGAAGAGAGATTCGGTTCCAAGTCTTGGTTAAGTAAGTGGGAGCGGCCGGTGTCAATATGTCCCTCTGGTCAGCCTGCCCTCCCAGGCATCGAAGGGCAGGGGACAAAGAGAAAAGATGACCTTGATGGAGGTTGGCTCCCAGAGGTCCCCGCACCAATGCCAAGGGCACCTGTTGCCATTGTCCCAACCTCCTCTCTGCTTTGTTTTCTCAAAGGGACTGAGCAGTGGGTTGAGCTGGCGAGGGGAGGAGAGGGGCAGAGAGTCACGTTTGGTAGCTGGTGAGAAACGTGGGTTCTTTTAACTCAGCGTGCCCCGGTTCAAACACTGCCCCCACTCCCATCCCCCAGCCCCCATCTTCTTCTGGAAGGATGACTCAGCACATGTCTGTCTGTCTGTCCCCACAGAGCCGTGCTCTTTGCCTCTATGCTGATGCGAAAGACCATGGCATCCCGAGTCAGAGCCACAATTCTCTTTGCGACGGAGACCGGAAAGTCGGAAACGCTGGCCCGGGACCTGGGCGCCTTGTTCAGCTGCGCCTTCAACCCCGAGGTATCCGACGTGGCTGGGCGTGCACCGTGTCTCTGCCTGTGCCTGGGGCTGCTCTGCTCCTGGACGCTCAGGGCCTTGCATGTGCTGCTGTCCACGGTAAATCGGTGACGGCCGGAGACGTGTGTGTTGGGGCTTTGCAATCCTACACGTTTTTCAGAGGGAACACAGGCTGAGAAACACGTTCCTAATGAGTCCAACTCGCAATACACACGAGCTTCTCTAGGTGAATTTTATTCCCGTTTACTGAGCACATCCGTACAGGGTGCACAGGTAAATGTGAAAGGGGCAAAGGATGAATAAAGTGCAGACAAGTAAACCCCCCGAGGGTGAGTCAGCCACTGCACAGGGCTGCGTTCCGTCCTTCACTTCTGAAGGCCTCCGAGGCAGGTGGGCCGGGCAGGACAGGAGGCCGGGGCGCCGGGGTTAGTGTCGGGCACGGTGTTCGGGTCCCTGAGGTACCAAAGGAGTCGTCACCGTTGTGTAACCTGCTCATCCCATTTTTGTGGAGAATGTGTCTGCACACTCGGAATCCAGAACAGCTGTGGAAGTGGCAAAAGTGTTTTGATTTGGGACGTGCAGTGTACGGGAGGCAAACCCTCCAGGGCTTGCTGACGTGTAGCGGGGCGGGGCTTGAGGCAGGGAGACTGGAGGACTGTGTTTGAGAGGGTTGCTGGGCAGGGGTTTGTTAAGCGCTCACTTTCTCTGTGCTACACCTATGCTGGGTAGGGGGGTGCAGCGGCAGCAGGCCTGGATGATGAAGGGGGCTAGCGGCCTGGGGGGGGGGCAGAGGGCCCCACCCTGGAAACCCAGGGCTGATGTCCAGCCTCTGTGCCGTGCAGGTTCTCTGCATGGACGAGTATGGGCTGAGCCGCCTGGAGGAGGAGCAGCTGCTGCTGGTGGTGACCAGCACGTTTGGGAACGGAGGCGCTCCCGGCAATGGAGAGGTGGGTGGCCCGGGAAAGGACCTGGGCCATCAGCATGCTCCGAGGAGGACATTTGGGAGTGGGTGCCCTGACAGCCACCTGTGCCCTGCATAATTATCGCCATGTGCCTGTGCCACCTTTCTGGTGACACACTTAGACACGCTCCCTATAGTTCAGTAAAGCAGCCTGGCTTTTACAATGTCGCAATTCCCGTTTAAGGGGAACTTTATATCCCTGACACAAGTGGAAGGCCAGCAAAAAGTAAATCCAGTGAAAACCAACTAAAGTTACTGAATTTTAGCTAGAAACTGTCACCTAACCATGGCTTGCTTAGTTTTTTATTTAAGGAGTAATAAGCAAGTACTAGAGAGGTGTTAAGGCTCCATTAATACCAATCTGAGACTTTCACCCCAGTGTTCAGAAGAACAAAATACATACATACATACATACATAACTGAGATAACTAAAAGGAAATTAGAGAAAACAATACTTTCTCACAATGAGGTTTGACACTATATTTGCTAGGTCATATACCACCTAAAATTACCTGAGTTCCTGAGAAATCAGAATTATTTCAGAAACTGTGGCAACAGTTGTTGCCATCATCAGGTTCCAAACCGGAAGAGGGGCTCGTTTGCATCCCCTTAGGAAACCCTCTGGAGATGCCCCCGCTGTAGGGCAGGCAGGGCTGGAGGTGGGGCTGTCCTGGGTCCCCCGCTGAGGGCCAGGGCCACACAAGTGGTGAAGCCTGAGCTTGTCCCTGAGCCCCAGCCGGCACACACGAGCCAGCTGGCATGTGAGGTCCTGGACCTTCTCCCGTCGGAGGCAGCCAGTTCTTAACTGGGCCACCAGAAGAAAGGAAAAAGCAGTGCTTGTACGGACCTTGACCCGAGAACTTTGTGGTTCTCTCTTTCTAGAAACTGAAGAAATCCCTCTTCATGCTGAAAGAGCTCACCAACAAGTTCAGGTAAGGCTGTTCCCCAGCCCACGTGTCCGAGCACGGCCTCGTGGGCCCAGAGTCTGGAAGTGGAAGTGGGAGGGGTCTTCTCTGGGGCGTCCCGGCCTAGTGAGAGCCTGTCCTCAGCATGTGCTGAGGACCAAGCCAGGGAGTCCAAGTCCCTCTTATAGGTCTGCAGGCCAAACGTAGGGCTGGTCTTCAGAGTTGGTGAAAAGGCTCAGAAGCCAAAGAGGCCAGGAGGGAGCAGGTGGGAGTGTCGGAGGCGGCTTCGGGCTGTGGGTGTGGCGGGGGGCTGCTTGCACGGGCTGGCTCACTCCAGTCTCTGTGTGTGTGTGTGTCCTCCTTGGGCAGGTATGCCGTGTTCGGCCTCGGTTCCAGCATGTACCCTCAGTTCTGCGCCTTTGCTCATGATGTCGACCAGAAGTTGTCCCACCTGGGAGCATCTCAGCTCACCCCAACAGGGGAAGGGGACGAGCTCAGTGGGCAGGAAGAGGCCTTCCGAAGTTGGGCAGTGCAGACCTTCAAGGTCAGTTCCTCGCTGGAGCTGCCCCATAGCACGCACAGGACGCTGGGGCGCATTTGTGCCTGGGACACCTGGGCTGGGCACCCTGGGTGGCATGACCCCTGCCTGGTCCTGTAGGCAGGGTCCCAGGTGTGGGCGGGGCTGTAGGCCGAGGGCTCAGGCCAAGGGCTTGGGCCACTGCTGCTCTTCCTCAGTCCCCAGAAGGGCTCCCCTGTAAGTAAGCGTGTGTCCCCGGGGCAGGAAGAGGTCGCTAGGATGCCTCCCTGCCTTCCGAAAGCCTCGGTTTGAGATCTTCCCCCACTCTGATTATCCAGCCCCTCTCTTGACAACCTTGTCTTGTTTCAAGTCTCCCAGCCACAGAGAGCTTGGGGACTGGGACCACATGGTTGAGCTCTACCTCAGGAGGCCTTTGTTGCCCGGGTTTGACTCCTCTGACTTAGCAAACTCCCCATTTAAGCAAAGCATTTCACCCCGTGGTGCCTAGGAATCCCAGCCTGAGTCAGGGCCGGCGTGATTCCCCAGCCCAGGCCTCCTCCAATGAGTCCACATCAGGAAAACGGGAGCAGTCAAACCTGCGCACGGTGTGGTCATGCAGATAAAATGAGATGCTGTCAATGTGAATGTTCACTGTAATAGCAATAGCTAGCATGTGCCAAGCCCCGGCGCCTCTTTGAGTCACAACAGCCCGATCAGATAAGTGTGCTTAGTACTTTTACAAAGCACTTAGCTCGTAAGGACCTGAAAAATGAGAGTCCTGATGGTGGCCACGTTGCCACTGCTGAGGGTGACGCTCACAAATACTGATTCGCTCTGTCTCCCTCTAGGCAGCCTGTGAGACATTCGACGTCCGAGGCCAGGGCCGCATTCAGATCCCCAAGCTCTACACCACCAGTGTGACCTGGGACCCGTGCCACTACCGGCTCGTGCAGGACTCACAGCCTTTGGACCTCAACAAAGGTACCAGCTTCCCTGAGCCACACGGGGCTTGTTTGCCCTGCCTGCCGGGGTGGGGGTCTTTGAGCCGTGAGCCTCTGGTTGAAAAGAGCAGTGGGACCCTCTGCAGAGGGGCAGCTGGCCCAGGGCTGCCAGGCCTCCCTCCGTTGTCGCCTCCAAGAGCTGGTCAGGGTGCCAGAATCAAGGTCTTGCTTTGTCTGTGAGGGCGGCCATTCCAGGAGGGGGGCCTGGGAGGTGGGTAAAGGGAGCAGGAAGCTGCTCCAGCCCAGGGCCTCCTGTGTGCCGGGCGCTGTGATGGGCGCTGTGCCCAGCTCTAAGCAAGCCCTGACACTCATCCTTCGAGGAAGACACAGAGAAACTGAAGTGCAGGGAGGTGAAGCCAGTTGCTAGCAGGTGGCCAGGTTGAGATTTGAGCCCCACCCTTCCAACTCTGACGCCAGCCAAGTATTGTAAAGAACGTTCTGCAGAGGCAGTTCCAGAACATTCTGCGATCTGTGACCTCTCCACGGTGCCCTCCAGATGCTATGCCTCTGCGCTTTCTCTTTCTGGTACCATGAGCCCGGCGGCCCTGCAGGTTTCCGCTTGTTCAGGATATCCCCAGCTCCAGCAGGGCTCCCCCGCGTCGCAGGAAACCTGGGTTACTTGGACCTCCGAGCTGCACTGCCCCACCCCTAGCGGATGCACAGCCACCCTCTGTCAGAGCAAGGGTATCTCTGAATGTGTGATTCAGAGACACGGTGGGGAAAAGGATGTCACTGACTCAGACACGTGGGGGCTGCCCCACCAATGCTGGAGAGCCGCTTGGCCATTTCACCGCCTATGTGTCCCCCGCAGCCCTCAGCAGCGTGCACGCCAAGGACGTGTTCACCATGAAGCTCAAATCCCGGCAGAACCTGCAGAGTCCGAAATCCAGGTAGGGCAAAGTACGGGGCCTCCTGGGTGATGGTCCACAGATTTTATTTTAATGAGGGGAAGACCAGAACAGGGCAGATGTTGAAAAGAGAGAGGTGTCCACAGGCATCAGCGATCAGGCTGTTGGTGGGGACCAGCCTGACGGTCACCCTGTGGCCACCAATGCCTTTACATCCGGTCTCCGTTACCTGAGGGCCAGTTTTCCAGCTTGGGAACGAGGTACCTGCTTCGCTTCTTGTCCTAAACGTGTTCACCAGAAGGGGAGGGCAAGAGAAATTCGAACCGTGTGGCGCTTTCTTAGAACTTTCAGGAAAAGTTTAGCAGGGAAGGACGTTTCCCCGCCAGGGCAAGCTGATGCTGAGGATTCTCTGTGGGTTTCGCTTCTCTGCGCCGCCTCCCCCAAACATTGAGGAAAACTGGGCTTTGTTCTGATAAAAACGGAATGTGTGCTGGGGACAAGGAAAGGTTTGTCCCGATGCCTACGCATCTCCCAGAGGGGTGCTTCCTCCAGGCAGATTCTGTGGTCTAGCCCTCAAGAGCTGCTGTGGGCAGCACAGCCTGGAGTCAGTGCATCCTCTCCCCAGGGAGAAGCCTCGGGCCTGGTCAGCCTCAGGCCCTTTTCCGAGACAGCGCGCACAGAACCAGGCAGGAGAATGGAAGGAGGGCTTGTTTCCCGGGGAAACCGGACCACCCTCCAGGGACCTCTGCAGGAAACCCCGGAGCAGTCACCAGAGGCTGCTTTGTTCCTTCCCCAGCCGCACCACCCTCCTGGTGGAACTCTCCTGTGCGGACGGCCAGGGCCTCAGCTACCTGCCCGGGGAGCACCTGGGCATTTTCCCAAGCAACCAGCCGGCCCTGGTCCAAGGCATTTTGGAGCGAGTGGTAGACGGCCCCGCACCCCACCAACCCGTGTGCCTGGAGACCCTCAGCGAGACTGGTGAGCCCCCTGCACACCCAGCATCCTCCCACCCACCCCAGAGCAGAGGACGGGAAGGGCCAGGCCTGCACCGCAGGCAGCTAACCTTGTCCTTCCTGCTGGCCAGCTGGCCCCCGAGCCTGCGCTAAAGCCGCCTTGCCAAGAGTTAACCCACAAAAAGGGATGCTTCTTTGGGACCACCTGCCCAACCCCAGGGGCTGGAGTGTCTTTTTCCCTTTATTCCTTTGCTTATCTGGCAAAAGAATATATTCTTTTGTTGATTGATTCATTGATTTTTTTTCCCCCATGGAAATTTTATCTGGCCACATCAGATATGCCCTGGGCTGAAAACGAATGAGATTTGGTGTCTGCCCTCAGGGAACTCACGACCTAGCACCGGAGGCAGGTGTGCACAAAAGTGCACAGTAATGAGCATTCTAATAATCACAGCAGCGGCCAGCACTTATCGGGCGCTTGGTATACGCCGGCATTTTACTTGTGTAAAATTAGTCCCCACGGCAGGCACATGTGTGTGGCTTGCCCGGTGACATAATAGAGAAATGTGGACACAGTGTAGAAATGGTGAGGTTTGAAGGTTCAAGTCCCAGATCCATCCCTTACCAGCACGGTGGTGGCCTTGGGCATAGGAGTCACTGCTTGGGCTTTACTCCTTTGTCCCTAAAACAGAGACAGTAGAGCCTTCCTTGCAGGCCTGTTTTGAAGAACCAATGCACAGATACAAATGCGACCTTCACAACTCCTGGCGCCAAATAAATGCAGGCGTGGAGGGATGTCCGTTCCCCACAGGCTAACGGACGTTTGGCCAGGAGGTCAGACGATACACCTTGAGAGCCTCCTCGGATCCCAAATTATATAATCTCTTCACACTCCATGGCATTCTGACTTCATGCTGTTACCCCACCAAGGTCCCAATTGTTCCCACCTTCCCTGGGCAATGAGCAGGGGCAGGCCAAAGGTGGCCAGGACTGTGTGGCTGCTCCTGGCCATCGTCACTGGGGAGAAGACACCGTCCTGGGGAGGGTCCAGGGCACCCCTGTCCTGTGCTAAGATGAGGCTCTCAGCCTTACGGATGGGCACCCGCAGGGTAACGGGCGGTGGGAGAGGGGAGCTAATGAAATCTGCAGTCGGGGGCCTCTGCCTCAGGACGCGCCCCCGGCTTCAGCCTCCTCAGTGGTAAGGACACCTTCGAGAATGTGTCGCCTAAAGAGAGTGGCCAAAATAGGAGAGCAGGAATCAGAGGCAAAGTGTGGCCTCGCACCCCGCTGCCCCGGACAATGTGAGAGAGCCTGAAACCTGGGGACCAGGGGCCAGAGATGTCCTTGTGACTGTAGGAGACGGATGTGGCTCTGCAGGCCTTGGGTCAGGATGAAACGATGCCACAGTAATATTTTTACCTGACACTTACTGAGTTCCTGGGTCCCAGACCCCATGCCAACTCCTGTTCTGCACTGTTTCATTCAAAGCTCATACAAAGCCAGTGAGACACGTTTTCTTACCACGTCCGTTTCACAGAGGCAGAACCCAAGGCTCAGAGAGTTGAGTCACCCAGCCAGTAAGTGGGGAGTCAGAATTTGAACCCACACCTACTGGCCCCAGGGTCCCTGCTGTGACCACCTTGGATACTGGCTCTTGGGACTCCCTGAGACTCACAACCTCCCTTCGGGGTGATTGGCATTAGGGGACTGTGGTTACGTGCGTTTCTCTGAATGAGTAGCCGGTGTCTAGGGTGCACAGAGGTCTGTGGGGCATTTAGCCACCATGAGTCCGAAATTCCCCTGTGGACACCCTGCTACAGTCCAGGCCTGGGTGACCAGGGACTGGACTCTGGCCCACAGTTAGTTTACAGGACCACGTCACCACGGGGGCCCTTTCGAGGGCTGTGGATCGACCCTCGTTTCAGCCCCATCTCCGAGCACCACCTTCCTGCACGTGAGTGGGACGCATTAGCCCTGTCACTGTTCCTGGAACCAGAACTTCAGTGTCACCTCTCCCCTGCAGGCAGCTACTGGGTCAGGGACAAGCGGCTGCCCCCCTGCTCACTCAGCCAGGCCCTCACCCACTTCCTGGACATCACCACCCCCCCAACGCAGCTGCTGCTCCGGAAGCTGGCCCGGCTGGCCACCGAAGAGGGCGAGAGGCGGAGGCTGGAGACCCTGTGCCAGGTGACGTTAGGGGCTGGGGCGGGAGGCGGTTGCCAGGTCCTAGAGTCCGGGGAAGCCGGAGCCCGGAGCGGGTCTTTAACCTCCAAGGGGGGTTCAGCTCAGCTGCCCAAAGTGAGACACGTTGCGGTCCGGTGGGAAGTCAGGCACCCTCTCCCGTACTGTCTCTAGGACACAGTCGTGTTGAGTAAACGGGATTTTTCTGAGTGTCTGTGGGATGCAACCAAAGCGCACCCTCAGACATCAGTTAAGGAAAAAGAGCCACTCTGTCTGGTCTGTCTTCGTATTTCCCCAAACCCGAAGCAAGCTTAGGACTTAGAAAGAGTTAGAGGCTGGCCGGGGTGGATGGCTGGGTAAGTGGACATAGTGCCAGTCGGGCAGATGAATTGGCAAATTAATAAGAGAACACATTACCTCACCTGAGTTTCTGGGCCCCAGTCTTTGCAAAAGGCACTGGGTGTCATTATTATATCAATGTTATAGCTCATTTTCATGATTCCAGCCACCTCCGCTGCCACTGCCGTGTGGTTGTGCTGTGCTAACTTGGGAGGGCACACATGTTCCCATCGGACTCTCACAACACCCCCACAAAGTGAGGGATGCTGTCTCCAGCTCACAAGGGCTGAGGAATGGGGACACGATCCCACAGCTCTAAAACAAGCATCGTGTCACAGCGTCCAGTGTTTGAACCCAGGCCTGTGTGATTCCGAAGCCCCGCCCCAGATGAGATCACAGTAGAGATCTGACTCCTGCCCACGAGTTGCCGACCGTGATGTTCTAGGCGCACGAGTTAGATGAAGGCTGCTCGCTGGCCTGAGTTCTTCCAGGAGAGGAAATGGCTGATCTTTTCTCTCTAACTCAGTAGCACCCTGGACAGCGCTGGGTGCTTCAAAGTGTGTCTTGAGGGAGGGAATGAATGCATGAGTGAATGAGTGAATGAATACTGGGTTGTGGCAGCCTCTTCCCTCCACGTGGGGTGGTGCCCTGAGTTGCTCACTTGGCCCTTGCCTTTCAGCCCTCGGAGTACAACCAGTGGAAGTTCACCAACAGTCCCACATTCCTGGAGGTGCTGGAGGAGTTCCCGTCCCTGCAGGTGTCTGCCAGCTTCCTGCTCTCCCAGCTCCCTGTTCTGAAACCCCGGTACTACTCCATCAGCTCCTGCAGGGACCGCACACCCATGGAGGTCCACCTCACTGTGGCCGTGCTCACCTACCGCACCCGAGGTAAGGCCGGGGCAGAGGCTCTGGCGCATTCCGGCGCTGCTGTTTCCTGGGCAGCTGTTCAACATGGCGGAGCCTTGGCCTCCCCATCATTTAAACACCCACCCTCCAGAGTTGTCGTTACAGTAGGAGGTGTGCGCGAGAGACTACTCAGAAGCAGGCCCTGAGCTAGATTCTCAGTAATCGTGTGAGATGGGTGTGCCGTGAGCATTTTACAGGCGGGGGAACAGGCAAGAAGAGCTTAAGCCACTTGTTCAAAGTCACACCATTAACAAATAGAGAACTGAGATTCAAACCTAGGTAGTCTGCTTAGTCCAAATTCTTGTTTTTTTTTCAAATTTAATTTATTTATTTTCAGAGAGAGGGGAAGGGAGAGAGAAAGAGGAAAGAAATTTCGATTGGTTGCCTCCCACACACCCCCAACTGGGAGCCTAGCCCACAACCCAGGCATGGGCCCTGACCAGGAATCGAACCTGTGACCCTTGGGTTCACAGGCTGGTGCTCAATCCACTGAGCCATACCGGCCAGGGCCTGAGTCCACATTCTTAACCACCCTGCTCCACTTTCAAGCCCTACTACTTTTGGGACAATGTAACGAGATTGAGTGTGGAAAGTGCCCACTGCTTAGTGGGAGCCCAGCGATTCTTAGTCTTCCCGATAGTCCAGCCGAGGTACCGGGTGGTTCTGCTCTGACTGTTCATCGCTCCACTCACTGACTCGACAAGGATTGTTTCGTGCTTCTGTATACTCGGCACCCTGGCGGGCGTGGAGACACAGCCCCCGTTGCCCCTGCCCCTGTGAGCTTCCCGGCTGGAAGGGTGCAATGAAAAGACACCCACCGAAATAGACAGTCATCACTGTGTCAGTGCTGAGAAGGAATGCACAGGATGAAGACTTCAGATGGCGGCTGGGCCGACGTAGATGGGAAGGTCTCAGTCCTTGTGCAGTTGGGCTTGGCTCCTCCAGTGGAAGGACTGGGCCCCTGCCTTGCCCTTGGTAACGGAGCACTGCCTGGGGCGGCAAAGCTGGGAAGCTGCCCCCCACCTCAAGGCCGCCGGTGCCCTGACCTGCACGAGCACCCAGTTCTGAGGACTGGGCGGAGACCGTCTGCTGTGCCGGAGGATATCGCACGGGCCCAGTCTCAGTCCTCAGATCAGGGGAGGGGAGGCGGGCGTGTCCTGCGGGAGCAAGATTCCATCCAGAGGAAACCGAAGGGCCTTCTCAAGTTAGCGGAGGCCCCTTTGAATTCTGGGTCATGGGGAAGGGAATGTACCCCAGGGAAAGCTGGGGTTTCCACAAGCCCAGGAGGAGCCACACGCAGGTGTCCGAACAGACTGGAATGCTCAGGAGGTTGTCCATCACCCAGTGTGTCTATCGGGAAAGGCTATGTTTGGGAAGACACTCTGGGACGGTGACTGTGGTCACCCTCAGGGGCCACTTTGGGCAGCTGTCATCGGAGCTGAGTGGTGGGCTGGGAGGGTCCTTCAGTCAGGGAAGCTGAGCTGTGGCCTGACTCTCTTGCTACCCAAGTGACCTTGTACGAGTCACAGTCCCGCTGAGACTCAACTTCAGCAGTGGTAAAAGGAGAGGCTTCTACACTGTCTAAGGCCCTTTCTACTTTCAGCAGCTCTGCTATTTAGAGGGTGGATCTCGGAATTGAGAGAAAACAGCTCCCACATTAGAGCCCAGAGAGTGTCTGAGCAGGCAGTTCGAGTGCAGCCCAGCGGGGAGCGCCATTGGGGCAGTTCACACACCGGTTGGCGGTGCAAATTGGTCAGGTCTGTTCTGTCCTTGCAGATGGCCAGGGTCCCCTGCACCACGGTGTCTGCAGCACGTGGCTTAGCAGCCTGAAGCCCCAAGACCCAGTGCCCTGTTTTGTACGAAGGTGAGCATCCCTGCCATGCTGTCTGTTGTGGGGCCACTGGCCCTAGGAGCCTCGGGCGGAAACAGAGGGGTCTGGGGTTTAGGTGCCAGTCTAGACCCCTTGGTCCACAAAGAAGGCACTGGGCTCACACCGGGCCTGTCCATTCTACTTCCCGGCTGTAGAACATGGCCAAGTCTGCAGCGCGGATGGAGGTAGAGCCCAGAGGACAATGAGGCTCAGCCTCTCTCAGAAGGACACTGGCACAAGGTTCTGGTGTGTGTGGTCAGGGAGACGAAGCGGCCTGTGGGACTTGGGAATCAAATTCGAGCTCACTGTCATCTCCACATCCCCCAACACTCCCACCCCAACCACACCCCTAGCTCCTCAGCCCCTGTCCTGCGTGTGCACGCAGCCCACGGAGCCTGAGGACGATGGTCTCTCTTTCTGTCCCCTTCAGTGCCAGTGGCTTCCAGCTCCCTGAGGACCCCTCCCAGCCTTGCATCCTCATTGGGCCTGGCACGGGCATTGCCCCCTTCCGCAGTTTCTGGCAGCAGCGGCTTTATGACATTGAACAAAAAGGTACTGCTGGCGGGCCGGGGGGGAGGGGGGCCTCTAGGGGGGAGGGGTGGGGGACCAGGTGGCCAGCACCTGCCTGGGAGTAGAACTGAGCTGCAGGAGAGCTGTGCCACTGCCCACAGACGTTTCCTGGCCCCTATCCGAGGTCTGCCTCAGCCTGTGTGGGCAAGGGATCTGAATGCCCTGGCCCTCAGCATCCTCAGCTATAAAGTAAGGAAAGTAGTAGATAGGATTCTTGTGGAGATGAAATGAGAATTCAAGCTGGGTACCCAGTTTGTCTGGTCTTGATGCCTGCCCTCTTGTGGCCACCCTGGTAACTGCAACCTGCTGGGTCTTCCAGGGCTCCAGAGTGGCTGCATGACCCTGGTGTTTGGGTGCCGGCGCCCAGACGAGGACCACCTCTATCGGGAGGAGATGTTGGAGATGGTCCAGAAGAGGGTGCTGCATGAGGTGCACACAGCCTACTCTCGTCTGCCTGGCCAACCCAAGGTAATGCGGCTCCCCCATGAGAGGGAGGAGCATTAAAAGCACAGGCTATACTATGATGGGTGTCCTGGCATTCCACACCCCACTCATGTCTCTGAACTTTCATCTCCTCTGCTCTAAAATGTAGGCTGTTATACTATCAGAGAGATGCTGTGAAGCTATGAAACTATTCAGTTCACTCTTCCAAGAGATAGGCTATGAGGTGTTCAGGACCAAGTCGTCAAGGCCACGTGGTGGGTTAATCTCCTGGGCCCAGCCTGCTGAAGGCCCTCCCTGGCTGGGATGCACAACTGCCCAGGGAGAGGCTGTCCAGGCCCGCTTTATGCTCCACCACGGCAAGGCTGGAGGGCACTCGCTGCTCCACTGATGGGCTCTGCTGCCCCAGGGCACTTTGACCAGGACCCTGGGGAGTCAGATCAGGCTCTTGGCCCCTCCCTAATGAACTGGTCCTATCAGGGCTCCTCCCAGAGCCAGTGCTCCATGGCCAAGGCTGGGTCACTGGGAGCCCAGTGGACTCCTGGACTTCCATGTCACTGGGGAGCCCAGGGCTCTGTGCCCTGCTCTGCATAAGAGTGGAGGTCCCATAGACCAGCCCCCCAGTGAGAGAATCCCTTTTCTGGGGTGTGGCAGGTGGGCCTCAGGGCCCTGCATAGGGCAAGTGGCTTCATGGTGCCTCTTTGAAGCATGTGAATCCAGAGTACATCAGGGAGCCCCCCTGGACCGTCTGCTCCTGGAGGGCTGGGGCGTGACCAGGATTCCTCTCTCCAGCCTAGACCTGGGCTGGGCAGGTGCCAGTGCACGTCCTCATGCTCAGCCTGGTCCCTGTGCAGAGTCCTGGTGGGGAGGGTGCTCACCCTGCCGCCCGTCATGCCTCCTCACCAACTCCCTGTGGCCACCACGTTTGACTACAAGCTTTGTCCCCTCACCACCCAGCAGCCAGGGTCTGGACTCACCATCTCCTCTGGTTTCAGGTCTATGTTCAAGACATCCTTCAGCAGCAGCTGGCCGATCAGGTGCTCCACGTGCTTCACAAGGAGCAGGGCCACCTCTATGTCTGTGGGGACGTGCGCATGGCCCGGGATGTAGCCCACACACTTAAGCAGCTGGTGGCAGCCAAGCTGAGCCTGAGTGAGGAACAGGTGGAGGACTATTTCTTCCAGCTTAAGGTATGGCAGCTGGTGCAGGTGCACCAGCTAGATGCAGGTCATGGGCATGGGACAGGGAGCCAGGGCTAGGGGCATCAGAACTAGGGGAGTCAGGATCAGGACAGTCCTGGATGTCAGGAGAATCCTAGAGGTGGCTGGAGGGTCAGAGCCGGATGCGCTGTTAGAGGCTTGATGTGCATCCTGGTCTGATTGTTCAGTTAAACAAAGTCAAACACACTGCTTTACAATGAGACTTTCAGAGCCTCTAACATGTTTCTGGGCATCATGATGCTTCAAAACTGGGAGAAACTGTGTCACACACAAAATGTATTTATCTCAGAGCCCATGTTTCAGGAGCATCTTGTGGGATAAGCACTAGGCAGGCTGTTCTGTGCATCCTAAAGCCTGGAGACATGTTCAGGTGGTCCACGGCAGAGCAGGCAGTGGGGGTTACAGAGTCTCAGTCAGAGTCAAGTGCAATCTAAGCATGGCCGTGGGGAAGGCAGATGGCTCAGCAGTGTATGTGTGGTAGGGAAGCTGGGAGGACGCAGGGCACTGGTTCCAGCCTGGGCCCGATGAGTGAGGGGTGGCTGCACCAGCAGAGCTGACATGAGCTTTCTGTTTTTTCCTGAAGAACCAGAAGCGCTATCATGAAGATATCTTCGGAGCTGTATTTCCCTACAAGGTGCAAGAGGATGGGGCTGCCGGGAAGTCTAGTGAGCCCAGAGCTTCAACAGCCCGTGGAAGTTAAAGCTGCCACGGTTGAATTTCATGATGGACCCAATTCTCCATTCTCAGAGGCCACAGGGAGATGGTGGAAAATTATATCGCCAAGCCACACATCTTATTTGTCCATCTCCTTCCCCCTTTGTTTGACTGGCTACCAAGTAGCAGCCTGGACTGAGGGAACCTCTTGTCGCCTTTGAGCCCACCCTTCCCCAGATAATGGAATATTGGGATGTCCCTGGTCCCTTAAAGAAAAGCTGCAATGCCAGGCCTGGCCAGTGGGTGAGAAGGATGGAGCCTTCTTCTGATTGCACCACTGTCAGGGACCACCAGGAGGCGCTGCCTCACCACTCTGTATTTAGCCCCACTCTTTTCTGTACAGTTATTTATGCTTTTGTATTTAAAAACAAAACCCTAGTCAGCCCCTGAGGACCATCTAAACCCTCCCTGTAAGACTCCTTGATGGAGGTATTTATATGAAATGCATTTTATTTTAACCACATTGTGTGTGTGCGTGTGTGTGTCACAAGGAAACAGCCCTGAGTTATATAGACCTGGACACTGGTGCTGGCCCAGCCTGGCTCTGCGGCTTCTCTGAACCGGGTACGAGGGCTGCACACGAGGTGCACGTCTGGGAACCTGTGATGGGGGAGGGAGCACCGGCCTCAGCCCAGCCTCACACAGGAGGCACCTTGGGCAGGGAAGGGGCGGGGGCGGCAGGGGTGCGGTGCTGCCCAGGGTGCCAGCTCTTCAGCAGAGAGTCCCCCGACATTTGCCTTCTGACAAAGCCGCTGCATTTTGTCCGGGGCCACTGCTTCATGAGACTTTGGCCAATATCATTTGGCACCTGGATGACAAGGCAGGTGAGGTCAGGCTACAGTCAAGGCCTTGGCAGTACATGAAGAATACACGTGTTCCGTGGGGAAGGCTTCTCAGGGGACTGACCCATGTGTCCTTCTCCCAGTGGGAAGGAGGAAGGCACTCAGCCAGGGGTAAGTGAGGGTCGGGTGAGATCTGGCTACCGGCTGGAGTTTGGCCTGTGTTACCTTGGCTCCCTGGTCCCCGGACTCAGATGGGGTGGTGGGGGGAGAGGGGACAAGCCAACCTGCAGTGCGGTGGTGTTGCTTGGCACAGTGGTCACCTAGCCCAGAGTCTCTTGCACGCTAACCTGAACACTAAACGCCTGGGGTGTCTCTCCAATGCAGACTCTGATTGAGGTGTGTGGTGGTGCCCAAGATTCCTCATTTCAAACCAGTTTTAAGGGGCAGTGGCTACTCCTGGCTCTGGGTCTATGCTTTGAGCCCGAGCCCTGGTTCCTGAGGCCCTGGGTTCCTGATGGAGTATCATGGTGGGTTGGCATCATGTGGACAACACCTGGGTCCCCCTGCACTGGCCCAGGGGCTGGCACACCCTTCACACTGAGCCACTTTCCCCAGCACCACTTCCCCCCTAACACTGGGGGACCCACAGTGGAACCAACAACAAGCTCTCCTCTGGGTCAGCTCCACTTCACCCTTCCTTCCACCTCCTCCCACTGATGACCTGCCCTGCCCTCTGGCTTCCTGGCCCTGCCCTGGCCCTCACAGGCCCCCACCCAGGCCTGGGCCCATCTCAGAAGCACGGGGCTGCCTCCTTGCTTGGCTGCAACTCTGCTAACAAGCTTCCTGTCAGATGTTCCTTGCAAAGAGCCTGAGTCCAGCTGCTTTCTCCCACACACCTGTGGGATGTGTGGGGACCCACTGAGAGCAGAAATGGGTCAGGACACTCTCACCCAAGTGTGCCTGGGCTCCCTCCTTGGCCAGACCTCCCCAAATCCAGGAACCCAAGTGCCTCCAACACACTTGATAAACCACAGCCATCCCCTGTACGTGGGCACCAGGGGTATTTCTTTCTCACTTTATTTGAAGGACAATGGAAAAGGGGGGCCTCCAGCTGAAGAGGGTCCTGTCTGTTGGTGGAGACAAGCAGGTGTCAATCAGGGTCACTTTCCTGGAGAGGGAGGGTTGGTGATGATACAAGGAAAGGTTAAGGTTGGAGAAAGAGGAGGAGCTAAGGAGACCACCTCCCGTGTGAGTGACCAGCTGGTGGGTTGAGCCTGAGGTGGACTTGAAAGGAGGCTGGGACATGGGATCCAAGGTAGACAAGGGTTCAGCTGGGAGCTTGGGAAGGCCCACGGCCCTCCCTTTGTGCTCAGGGGACAGAACATGGGGCTTCAGCCTGCACACACCACCCCCTTCCTCAGATGTTTGGATTGGGCACCTGGAGCCCCAGGTGGTGCCCAGGCTGAGGGAGGCAGTGCCATCCAGCTGCCGTCTCCACCTCAGGGGGCTGCAGCCAGAGGCAGGGCCACACAGGGACCTGGTTCTTCCAGATCCTCGGTGGACCGGGAAGGACTGGGAAGGGCTGGGAAGGGCTGGGGCAGGGACAGGAAAGGTGGAGGTGATGAGCAGACCCAGACAGCGACGTGCTCTAGGCCAAGTCCCCAGGGTCAGGAATTCCGCCTATGTTTGCACGTGGGTCACCTGCACATCACCTGCCACTTCCAGGACATTGATGGCAGGCAGGTCCATCACACGGTGGTTGTAGTCAAACAGCTGCTGACCGTTCACTGCCACCTTGAAGCCGGTGTCCCCACACGTGATCCCCACCTGGACAGACAGACGGCCGTGTCATTTCCAGTGTACTTGGAAAGTCAGCAAACCTAAATGCAGGCTGGGGTCTCCTCCCCTTCCTGCCTTTGACTTCCATCCATTAAGGAGGCCCCACGCCCACATCCAGTCACACGGGATTCACTGTTCACAAACACCCTCTCCTTCTTATCCTTTTGCATGTTCTGTTCCCTGGCATAGAATGCCCTTCCCCCAGGCGCCGCACCACACACCACCCCACATGGGCAACTGCTCATCCCCCTCAGGGTTCACCCCTCTCCAGCTGGCCTTCCCTGCGTTCTGCCACCGCCTGACCCCTGCTACTCAAGTCAGGAGCCCCCTCAGGTCCTGTCCCCGCCCCCATCCTCACTCTCCCACTGGACCCTGAGCCTCCAGGGGCAGGGGCTCTGCCTTGTGCCCCCCATGTCCCTGGTACCCGCACCCAGGAGTGCTCCAGGCCGGCACTCCTGCAGCGGCCCCTCCTAACTTGTCGTTTTTTGCCCAAATACCCTCTGCGAGGCGGTGGGAGCACATGTGTGAAAACGCCGTCATCCCCCACACACCCGGCACGTGCAGCACGCTTCCTGTGGGCCGGGCTCTGTGCGGAGCCTGTCCCAACACGAGGTAGGTGCACTCTCACATCTCCAAGGTCACTGTTGCTAGTAGTCCCATGTTTCCAATGGAAAGACAGAGGCTCAGAGCAGCCTCGTCACTTGCTCACAGTCACACAGTGTCTCTGAGTCGAAGGAGATTGCTCTGAGGCTGAAACACTGAGACTCACTCTGTCAAAATCCAGACTCCTTTCCGTGGCCCTCAAGGCCCTACAAGGGTGGTGTGCTACCTGGGGGAGGAGTGTCAGGGCCTATTCAAAACACAGATGCCCAGGCTCCCCCTGCTTGGCCCGGGCTGGGGCCAGACCTGGGCCTTTCCCTGTCAGGCTCTCTGGGTGACTTGAATGTGTAGCAGGGGTTGGGAGCCCCTGCTGTGCTCTCCTGGCCTCCAGCCTCCCTGGCTCCCCGGTCCTGCACAGTCCACGCCTGTGAGCAGCACTTTTGCACTAACAGCTGCTCCCTCCCCCATCTCTGGGAATGCACCCCTCAGGTCTTTGTGGGGGTCTCCTTCTATCCCGGAGGTCTCCACTGCACTGTGGCCTCTGAGAGCTGTCCCCATCTCAGGGGGTGTGGCCCCCGCCCAGGCCTCGCTCTACCCCAGCAGGCTCTTTTACTTTCAGCGAAGCACCTGTGGTGACCTGCGGTGATTCTCTGCCACCTCAGCTGTGAAGTTCAGGGGCGGGATGTTGTCTGCTGGCTTCATGGCTCTCTCCCCTCCCCCAACACCTGGACTAAGCGGCCTTGGTGACAGAGCTCATGAGTGATGAATGAATGAGTGAGTGAACGAATAAATGAATGACACCTCATTCTTGGGCTCGATCTGCCACTTATTGGCTGTGTGACCTCAGGTGAGGACCCTGCACTTGAGTTGTCTCTCACCTGTGAACAGCAGATAACACCACCTCTTTATGGGGTGTTGTGGACCTCTCTGCCTGGTTTCAGAAATTGTAACTACCCTCCGTGGCTAAGGATGAGCGAGCGGACCTCCAGAATTCGAGCCACAGGAGACAAAGCTTGTCTCTGGTAGCAAATGCTGCCTCGGCTTCCTCCCTGCCCCCAAAGCACGGTCAGATGTCCATGATGGAAAAGTCTCCTCACAGTGAGGAGAAACCTAGGCCAGACTCAATCACTTGGGAGGCCATCGTGGAAGAACTCAGGGGGCTGCAACAAAGAGCGAGCAAGGGACCCTTGCCCCCTGGCTATGTGACATAGCCCGAGTCCCCAGGTCCTCTGGGAGAAGTGCTTCCTGGCTCTAATCCACTTAAGCCTGAAAACCTGATGGGGAGGGGCACAGCTCCTTGCTCTGCTAGAGTGGATCCCTGGGGAAATTCTGGCATCACAAAAATTTCTCAAAATCCCGTGAAAGCTGCTCTGCTAAAAGTGCTTTCATTCATATGTTAAGGGTCCGAGCAGGAAACCCTAAAGTTGTTGCAAACCCTCTTCCTGACAGACTCTGACTCAGACTAAGTCCTCAGATTTCTTTGAAATGTTATGTACTGTTTGATCTTTGCCACCCTGTATTCCTGTGTATTACGACCCAATAAAAGCCCTTGGAGGAAGGGTCTTGAGGCCTTTTTCCTCGGAGAAACTGGCCACCTCTCCTCCCCAAGCAGATGATGTCTCGGTAGTGTTTAATTTCATCCGTGGCAGACAGGGGAACTTGGGGGCAAAGTTGCCCTCACAATGGGGGACAGTAATTCTAAGAGCATAACAACAAATATTTGGTGACCACATTCTCTTCTTCTGGGCCCAGCCCTCACCCCAGAGGCCTCAGCTCCCAAACACTGACGCCCCCACCCCCTGCCTTACTTGCCCATCAGAGCCCCTCAGAGCTCCAGGCTGCAGCACCTACCGAGAAGCCCTGGCCTCTGGAGAAGGGCATTGTTTTCGATATGGAGTACTGCTCATGCCCCCAAGAGCCATTGATCAGCGTGTTGCAGACCACGGTGTTTTGGTCAAAACGAGGGTTCAGGTGGAAGGCGATGTCACTCCCAGATCGCAGGTTGATGTGGAACCTGAGGGTGGGCAGTTGACATGAGTCTCCTCTTTCCACTGAGCTCTGGACCCTGCCCCTCCCCATCCTGCACAGAGCCAGGGGAGAGGCAAGAACAAGCTTGGGGTAGCTCTCTTCCCCAAGAGCCCAGGCTTACCTCCGAGCGCTGGGCAGGACAGTGCCTGACACGGTGATGCTCTTGCAGGGGCACATCCCACCCAGGATGGCAGTGAAGTAGGGTAACGGCTGTTGGGAAGAGAGGACCAGCTCAGCCAGTGGCAGCCAGAGCAGCAACCACTGTAGGGGGAACCTCCTGCCAATTTCCATGAATTCGGACTGTGCACTGAGTCTGACCACTGTTCCTGGGAGTCATATCTCCTTGAGAAAGAATCGAGGTGCCTTTACTTGGTTGTAAATGCCAAAGGGAAACTTTCCAGGGATCCTCAAAATAATTAATGGGCTCAAAATTTCATGAGTTAGACTTAGGCCTGACACAGGGGACACTGGGGCTAAGGAGGGACAGTCACGTAATGTGCTCATGATGAAGGGACACTTGAAGGTGAAAGCTCCTTTCAACGACTTCTCATTTACTTGGGTGTTGAACTTCAGCTTCCTCAAGGACTGCATTTCATTTTGTGAGCCTCCCTTCACCTCCCACGCTGCCCAGCGCACACCAACCCTCCACCCTCCCTGAGAAATCACTTACATAGGTGGGGTTGGCGTACATCTCAGGTGGGATCACAGGGTTCTGTTGAAAAGAGACCAGGACACTGAGTGTGGGGTTGCGCCCGCACACTCTGAGGGGATGCTCCAACGTGAAGCATCAGCCCCTGGGCCCCCCCCTCACCCCCTCTCGGGGCGGCCTGGGTGGAACTTCCTGCCACAGTCCGAGACCCACCACAGCCGCCCGGCCTGGGCCCTCCACAGGCAGCTCTGCTCCCTCCAGGGCACCCGTCTGACTTGCACCAGCAGGAGGAAGAGAAGCAGTGACTTTTGTCTGTGACCAGCAGTGACATCCCAGGGATGTGAGCATGCAGGGCCTCAGACCCAGATGCTGGGGCCACTGCTCTCTCCTCTCAGTCACGGAAGGGCCGATTTCCTGGCAGTCTTCAGGGTCCTGCCTAGAGGTCGGGAGACAGGGCTAGGCCCTACAGGCGAGCGGGTAGGCAGCCTGATTCCAGAGGCCCTGTGTCCCCAGCAGGCACCGGCCACAGAGGGCAGAAGGGGCACAGCCCAGGGGAAGTGCGAGGCTCTCAGTCAGAGGGCACCTCTGCCCAAAGGTTGGAGGCACTTCTTGTGGCCAATTTCCCCGTCTGGTCCTGGTTATCGTTGCAACAACCCTGGCCATTTATTAGCACCACCTCCACAGATGAGGACACTGAGGCACAGGAAGGTTTGGGAACAGCCCAAGGCCATGCAGCTGGTCAGAAATGCAGTGGGGTTTGAGCACCAGCAAAAACAGTTTTAATTTGACCAGCACACAGCTGATTCTCACAATGAGATAGAACATCCTCGCTCCAGGCTCGCTGAGTGCTTCCCCGGACCAAACGGCCAGCCCTGTCCTCCTTGTGCCTCCACTTCCATCCTAGCCCCTGAGGAGGCTGGGCCAGATGGGCTGCTGGGGGGCAGGAGTGTGGGGTGAGGTCCCCAGAGGTGCTCAGCTCTTCCGCAGAACAGCCGGGTCGTGTCACCTCCCAGCACTCTTTGGAGGAAGAGGAAGGTCACTGCTGGGAGTTGGGGGGACACCAGAAGGGGAGACCATGTGGGGTGGTTGGGTGCTCCAGGCCCCTTTGGGGGCAACACCCATCCTCATTTTTGTTTTGACTATAAGGAAAACTAGCCTGTTTTAACTGCTCATGGTGGGTTTTCCTTCGGATTTAAAACACTGTGTGTCCAGGGATTGAAGAGTAGAAACCAGCCACCAGGATAAGAATGTGTCAGGGCCTGGGAGGAGCCCTGGCATCCCCCATCTTACAGGAAGGGGGCCTGAGGTCACACATTCTGACCCTGGTGCACCAGCCAGGCCTGGCTCAGCTTTCTCCAGCCCAACCACCAGCCCTTCCTTAAGGAGAGCTCAGGGGCTGGTGACTGTGGGGGAAAGCAGGCCATGCCAGGGGCCCTGCTGAGGTGGGCTGCAACTCGAAGCCCAGGCAGCAACTGCCCCCACCGACCTGTGCCCCCAGCACTCTGCTGCTGCTGCCCACCCGCCTGTCTCGTGGCCCCACCCAGAAAGACTCTGTCAGTCCATCTCCCCCGCCCCTCAGGAACAAGGCTGGGGGAGGCTTCTAGAGACACTACGGGGTCGGGACCAGGACGGGGTCACCTCACAGGCCCCCTGGGCCTGGGGCTGCCACTTGCCTGCCTTCCCCCATCACTGCTCCCTCTGTGGGCCCCTCCCTCCTCTGGAGGTAAATACAGGCACCTCCCTTCTCTGCCACTTACCATCCGGGCACATTTGGCCTCAGTGTCTCAGAGCCTCAGTTTCCCCATGAATGCCGTGGGGATCATAAAGCTCAGAGGGTCCAAACAACCCACCTGCACACAGGGCCCTCACACCTGGCACAAAGGTGCAAACCAGCCCGTGTCCCACTCTGCAGGGACGGCCCCGCTCCTCCCTCCCTCCCCAGAGGGCCCCTCTGCAGCCTCCCTGAGCTGTGCTCAGCCCACAGGGAGCAGACCCCTCAGGACTCTTCCCTGCTGCCCCCACACCCCTCATCAGACTAAACCCTGAATCACCCACAGCGTGCCGGGCACTCTTCAAGCACCCAAGAATGGACCTCACCGAATTCTCACCCCGATTCTGGACATGGCTCTAGGATTCTCCCTATTCTACACATGTGGAAACTGAGGCCCAGAGAGGAAAAAGTAGCTTGGCTGTGGTCACCTATTTTCTAGGCAGTGGTGACTGAACCCAGGGAGGCCCCCTCCAGAGGAAGTGAGACATGCTGGGCTCTCGTGCTCCCCAGACGCCCTGTGTACTTCCCCTTTCACTCCAATAAACCATCACTGTCCTTGTGATGAGCTGTGCGCTCCTTCCCCCTGAGCACGAGGAAGGACGGGCGCCCACCGGGAGCTCAGTCAGCATTTGTCCAATGCACGGATCCGGACTGCCCCTCCTGGCACTTCTGTCCTTCTGTGTTCTCTTTGGGAAGCCCCCTCCACCCCTGCCACCCAAGTGTGGTGTCCTCAGAAACCCAGAGCTGCTTTCCTGGAGAGGCAGAAGCGTGGCCTGGCAGCACCACCCATGCCCACAACCTGGAAACTCATTGAGCTCAGGCTGAGAGGCTGGATGCTGCTCAGGTTCATCTCTCCACCACCTCTGTGGTCACAGCTGCTCCTCTCACCAGTCAGGCAGTCCTCTGCACTGGGGAGGGTCAACAGAGATATAGAAATCAAAGCAATTTGGCAGTAACCCAGTGGGGAAGAGCCAGGAAGAAGAGGAAATGTGTCTAGAGAAAGAGAAGGAAAGGGTTCTGGGGAAGGAAGGGTGTGTGAGGAAATCAGGAAGAGGAGAGTAAATACTCCCTCGCCAGCTGCCTTAAAATCCTGCTCCTCACGTGAAAACATCATCATGTACAAAGAAGTGTACAAGACAGAGTTTCTATCTGTAAATGCAAACCCTCACCATGGAGGCTGTGACTTCCCTGGTTATAGGGATGCCCTATGAGCTCCTGCGTTCCTGCTTGGACAGCTTACCTCTTTTTTCTGTGCCTTCTCCTCTCCTCTCTCCCTGTTTGTTAATGGCCTCACATTGATTAATGTACCAACTGACTATTGCCAAAAAAATCACAGAGAAATATTATTTTTTCAATAACTTCCCAATTAAAACCCCAGCTATCTGGATAGTAGTGACCTTTTAGCGATTTCGAGACGCAGACAAACTGGATGGAACCTAAATATGGGGCCGTGTCTCATGTGCCAGTCCTCGTGCACCCAGTCCGGTTCCTCCCCAGTGTCTCCTCTGGGAGCTGTGCCTGGTCTGTACCAGTGGAGCCCACTGGGGAAATGGGCCAATTCAGCTGCCGTTTCTTCACCAGGAACCTCTGGATCCTGAAAGTCTCATGAGAAGACATGGCAAAGAAGGATCAATGGACCACGATGGTGGAGACAGACAGACTCCTGTGTCCCTTCTCTTTCCTGGCTTCAGAATACAGAGATGAGAAGTCTCGGAAACAGTGGAACATTCCAAGTGACATGGAGGTCAGGGTGACACATTAAATAAACTGCCTTTTAATGGCTTCAGCACTGAGGTAAGGAAAACGGTTGAACCAAGACTTGGCGGAGGAGGGGCTAGGAGTGGTGATGATAAACTTACCCGAAGTCAAGCAGGTCCCTTCAGTGTGCTAGACAGGAATCCAATGTGCTACAGGTCAAGCCTGAGTGAGCAGGTAAGGGGTACCTGGGTGCCAAGTGGGTAGAAGGTGCCCCAGGGTCATGCATGTGTGTGCACCCCTCTTCTTTCTTGAACCTCGTCTAGATGCACCAGAATTTGCAAAGACTGGCTTCTTGGAGAGGCTCCTGTTTCCCCTCAGCCCAACCTCCACCCCCATTATATTCCTGGATCAACTAGAATTTAACTGACTTGAGGGGCAGACAGCACTGCTGGAGCAGAAAGGAGGGAAAGGAAGACAAATTCTTTGCAATCCTCTGCAACACCGGGGACACCAGGGAATATGTCATCATTGATTGAGATATGGAACAAGTGGAACTCTCATTCCTTGCAGGTTGGACTGTGAAACAATACAACTTTGGAAAACAACTCAAGAGGGGTGAGAACACACACCCATGTCCATGGCAGCGTTACTCGCCATGACTCCAAAGTGGAAAGAACACAGATGTGAATAAAAGGAGGAGGAAGGAGCACATTGTGGGGTTCACAGGATGCAGTGGCCCCAGCAATAGAAAGGAACTGGGACATAGGAAAAGCCAGGGAACTCAGAGTGGAACCGGGAACTTGGGAGGGCACGCAGGCATCTTCTGGGCACTGGAAGTGCTCTGGACTTGACCTGGGTGCTGGTCACACGGCTGTTTCACCTCATCCAGCACACTGGGATCTGTGCATTTATCATGTAAACACTGTCTCAACAAAGTCCTGTGGAAGACACCCAAGACTCCCAAAGCTCCGAGTGTCCTGGGGAGAACAGGGACAGCCTGAGTTCCAGCAGACAAGCAGGAGGCATCCCTGGTGCTTTGGAAGTGACTCACAGGAAGTCCAACTGACAAGGAGAGCCCCAGGGCCCCCTGCCCTAGCTGTGCAGGGTGGGGCATTCTCAGCCCAGCTGAGACCCTGGGGGGCATCCTCCAGGTGCAGTGCCAGGGCATGGTCAACCTCAGCAGGGTGGCATCGGCACCGTGCAGTCACATGACCCATTCCCAGCACTCAGGTCCAATCTTAGGAAGAAAGGGGGGGGGGGAAGCCCTAAGCAAAGTTTCTTCTCAGAGCTCTGTTATTCAAAATTTCCAACCCTTATCTGAGGATCTTGGTTCAACCATCCTGATCCAAAGATGTTAGGAACCACCCTCCCTGGTTTCAGAAGCTGTACCCTATGGCTAAGGCTGAGTAAGAGACCTTGGGACTATAAGTCACTACGGAGACAAAGCTTATCTTCCTCCTAGAAGCACCACCTCTGCCCCCTTTTACTTCACCCTGCCTGGCCCGAGGTGGATGACTGGTTAGCCAATGATGGGTAAGATTCCTCAAGGGAGGGACAACCTAAGACAGGCACGGTCATGAAGAGGCCCTCAGGGAAGGACATGGGGGACTATAAAATAGGGGGTCATGGACCTTCACCCCTCGGCTTTGACACAGCCTGAGTGCTCATGCTGTCTACAAGAAGTCACCTGATCTCTTGCTGCCTTACTTTCCCTGTCTGACTTAAGCCTGAAATAATGTGATGCATCCCTGGGCCATCAGGCCAAAGAAAGAATGCATAAAATCCTATGAAACCTGCTTTGCTAATACTTTCAATTTAAATGATAAGGGTCCAAGCATAATATGAGTTTCTTTCCCAAAGATGTATGGCCCTTTAGGTAACTGACCTGGACTCAGAATAAGCCCTCATAGTTCTTTGAGTATTATCTGTAAGAAGAAATCAGCGACATCCTCTCCTTTGTTATCTGTAAAAGGTAATCACCTACAGCAAACCTGAGGATAATGAATGAGAACCTTTTTTGATGTGTGCTATTTGAAAGCAATAAAAGCCTGTCCAGGCAAGGATCTGGGTGTTTCCCTCGCTCAGAAAGTGGCTGTGCTGCCCCTTTTTCTCCACAGGACTTCCACAGTCGGTGTGACTTTGTTCATCACAGCCACAACATATAAAGTCTGCATCAGACAGAGCTGTTCAAAACGTGTCTCTGCCACTTCTCACCCCTGAGAATGGCCACTACTGAAAACCAGAAGGTGAGAAATGTTGACCAGGATGTGGAGGAAGAGCCCTTTGCACTGTTAGTGGGCGTTCAATGGGGGTGGGGGAAGGGCAGCTATGCCACATGTAGTGTCATGGAGCCCTGGGCTGGGACCAGACCCCTCATTGGTTTGGGAGAGCTCAGTCCTCAAGAGGCTGTTCTAGTGCTGAGATTGGCATCCAGACCTTGGGAAGGGGTCCTGGGGCCTCCAGTGAGGGGGCAGAGGAAGGGGTGGGCTCCTTCCTGTCTCTATTGTGCCACAAACTCTTCCCCTGGTTCTAAGAGGCCCCCTGACCCAGGTCCCAACTTCTCCAGCCTGCCCTGCACAGGTCCTCTGCATGCCCACCTCCCTCCATTCTCCTCCCCTTCCCCTTCTCCTCCCGTGGGCGCACGGTTTCTTTCTGTCTGTCTGTCCCTTTGGTCCGGACCCAGCCTGACTGCTGATGACCACTTTTTAGCCTCTGCACTTCAGACAAAATGAGTGTCTTCCCTTCAGCCAGCAGCTTGGTCTTCAGTGCTTGCAGGGTCCTGGGTGCTGTCAGGAAGGAAAAGGAGAACTGGGCCTGATCCAGCCACAGCTACCTGACCCTCGAGGGGCAGGGGGATGAGACGCCCTGGAGGACCCAGTATTTCTCCTTGGAGGGGGGACTAGAGGGGCTTGGGCACAAGAACCAAGAGAAGTCACCTAGGGAGGTCAGTGTTGTCTCCCACTGTGTGTATTGCTCTTTCCAAAGTCACACTGTGCAGCAGGTCCGCGCTCACAGTGACTATGTAATACACAATTACTATGTACTGTACAGACTGTGGTTTGTGAGGGGGAGGTTTTGAGGCTGGTGTGGGTCCCACCCCTCACAACCTTGGCCCTTTTCCACAGGTCAGAACCCTGGCTATGGGACCTCAGGAGCCATGGGGAGGACAGGGAAGATGCCCCTGGGTTTTGGGCACAGCTTAGTTCACCGGGATTTTGAACACAAAGCCTGTTGGAGTCCCAGTGGGACCCTGGGAGGGGCTGTGGGGTGGTGCTCTAGGGAGCTTGGTCCCTCAGTGTGGTCTCAGCGCTGTTGACCACGTTGCTGGCAGTGTTGTCCAGTTCAATTTAGTGAATTCTCCTGTTTGAGTTACTTCACCTGTGTTTTGCAGTCTCTCTCTTTTAAGGAGAAAATGTGACTCTCGTGAAAATGCTTTTAAGGTGAAATTAATTGAAATGAATGGAATTGCACAGGAAACCAATAGCAACGAAAAGGAAACTGGGACTCAAATCAATGGAGTGGACCAGAAGGAAGCAAATAATGGCCAAACAGAAAAGAGTCAAGAAGCAAGAATTCAAAGAAATGAGGAGAGTCTTAGAAACCTCCAGGACATCTTTAAACACTCCAACACCCGAATTATAGGGGTACCAGAAGGGGGAAAGGAACAGCCACCAGTGGAAAACTTATTTGAACAAATAATAAAGGAAAATTTCCCCAAGCTGGCAAAGGAAATAGACTTCCAAGAAATCCAGGAAGCGCAGAGAGTCCCAAAGAAGTTGGACCCAAGAAGGAACACACCAAGGCACATCATAATTACATTAGCCAAGATTAAAATGAAGGAGAGAATCC